GGGTATGGTAGAAAACATCAAGAAAGTATCAGAGAGAGCTAGTATGACAGAGATTCAAAAGATCTGCATGCTGGGATCTGCACGAATCCTTAGACAGGTGCTCAGTGTATGAACAGAATGATTGACTTGAGTGACTGACGCTCTAGGTGCATGGTTTGCGCCCGGCTGATGCGCAAAAAGAACACCAGCAAAGACTGTGATAATAGAGACAATAATAATAATAATAATAATAATAATAATAATAATAATAATAATAATGATGACGACGACGACGACGACGACGATGATGATGATGACGATGATGAAGATGATGATGACGATGATGATGATGATGATAAAGGTAATTAATAAGAAAGTACACCGGGTACGTTTAAATTTGCGGCAGACTCGTACAATTTGTATAGAACTTATGAAAAATTACGCAATGGCAAATTGTGCTGCAATAGTCAAGTAAACAAGATCTCTCGACTGCCTAACATCTCTATATAGTCATGTTTACCCTGGGACAAGGTTCTGTAGTGGGTGAAAAAGCACAAAAATGGGGGATCCTAGCGAGCCGAGCAGTGGACTGAAGAGGGGAAAAGGTCTGTGGAACTCCACCGGCCTTTACTCTCCCCAGACTCCCGCTCGGCTCGTTTCGTCCACCGATATGTCTTCACCTTTTCCTCTCCCCACCCCCACCCGCCTCCTCCCCCTCCCCCCCCCCACACTGTGGAACCTGGTCCCAGGCTTAGCCACGCTCTGATGTGTCGTCAGTGTAATCTGACAATGGCAAACCTTCACTTTGCAGCCCATTTGAACATAGGGGCATGAGATTAAAGTCAAGGGACAGTCCTCTTCAATGTGATTTGGAATCTGAAAAAAGATGAAAGGGAAAGTTTTTAAGACTTCTCTAGTTCACTCGTACGTCCTTTGAGAACAGCACACACACGAGAAGGGTTTGAAAATCGGCGGTAGCGAGTGCTGAATTAGTTTGGGAAAATGATTAGTTCTTTAGACCCGTTTTCAAATTCCTTAGGACAGCATCAAATTCATCTAAACCTCTATTGAATCCCATTGAAAAGTAACAGAACATTGTATGTGTATTCAGTGTATTTAACCCAGATCTTGTATACCGCAAAACTAAACACAAACATAGCCAATTACCATTTCTCTGGGAATTGAATTATTACATCCGTTAGGGCAGTTCACAGGAAACTTGGCACACTTTCCAGTATGCACCTGCACAAAGGGAAAGAAAGTTTATACAACACGTTTTTATTGAACAGAAAGATCAAACTAAAAAGCAAAAGAAAATAAAAAGTAACGACAAGAGATTATAATAGCACAGAAAGGGAGTCTAGGGCGTTGGTCAGGATATCTTAATTTCCAAAAAGTTATTTTTTTTTCTTTTGAAGTTACTGTTTCCGGGAAACTGGTTCACTTCCGGAAGACTAACTTTCTATAATTCATGATCTCTCCCGAAGTCTAGACTCTCTTGTCAAATACCGGATAAACTTCTTTCGTTAACCGTTCAGTTGGATACACTTTATACAGAACACTTTATTTGAATGTCAATGTACTTAGCCTTAAAAATTACCAACTGGGGACAAAAATTTAAATTCTTCTTCTGGAGACGGGACCGCCATTTTGTTTGATCATCCGATCCTGTACTACGCTGTACCTTCACTTCTCGAGTTATTTCAACACCCTGATTATTGTTTTAGTCCCGGGAATCCGAACCCGCGACCTCCCGCTCCACAGTCAAGCGCTCTTCCGACTAAGTAATCCTGCCTCGGTTTTACAATTTTCAAGTCAAATATTAAGCTTACTACTTAATACTACAGTTACTTATCCTTACCTTCATGTGACATTCTGGATGTGGTTCTTTACAGTATGTACACTCGATTATCCTCCACTGACATGTAAATGCAACATGGTTCTCCAGATATTTCCTTTTCAGTGCAACGGGGCAATTTTGGTTGGAGCAGGAAACAACTTTAAATTGGCAACTATCGACGTGAGTCTGTTAGGCACAATAAAAAACAAGGTTTTTTAGAAATTGACATAACTAGCTCCGTTTTGATTCTTAGTAAAGCCTGGTTTCATTATATCGCATTAATTAGTCCAAATCGTTTGGATCGCCGTAGTCGTCTCATATGAGTCTCGATAGAGAGTTTTATTCCACGACGGCAACGGCGGAAAAACCACTAATACAACTGACTGTCGTCTGCGCGATTAACCGAACTCACTCACCTTGCCAAATGTGGGCAAACCCTTCTGGTGTTGAATTCTAAACTATCAAAGTTTAAAAGAGTAAGAGAAATTGATCACGGTATGTTCAGGTTGTGCATAAAACATCAAATTAGGCTATTTCACGTCCTAGTCTTGGGATGACGGTAAAGAAATGTACCAATATTAAAGCGTGCTGCACGTCGTACAAATGTTGTTTTGATAAGCCATCGCCTTATTGACGTTCTCGTTGCCGTCGTGGTGGCATATTTTAAAAGTCCCTAAGGTGTACTGGTGATCAAGACAATCACGAGAAAACAGCTCTGATTCAGTTTTACTATTCCTGACATCAACTGACAGCTTGTTACCTTTTTGCCTCTCAATTCACCAGTCCAGTCACAGCCTTCACTTGGACATTTGATGGCCAAGGACAGAATTTTTCGTTCTGTTGCTTTGTCTGGAAAGACATCCTAAAATAGGGCAAAAAAATAAGGCTTTTTAAAGGAAAAAATAATAAAGATCCTCATTTTTTTTATACAAACAATTTTAACGTATATATGGTTTAACACAGTTCATACGCGGCTCACTGACTAAGGCTACTTTGATTAGAAGTCATGTACACCAACAACGTTTTAAAATTGTACAAAAGGGAGTTCGATTTTCTTGGGTTTTAGGATTCTATTAAAAGACGTAAGTCTTGGATTCCCTTCGGTAACACAACATAACATAAACTTTATTTATACTCGAATTTTAGAGTAGCTAACGAGCTAATATCTTCGAGCAATATCTTCGTACCCATTATGGAGAAAAAATATTCGGATTCAACAAAGAGGGCATCGACACGCCACACTTTTTCCTCTCAACACCGGGAACTAAATTAATACCATTTTAAGAACCCTGCACAGGAAACCGACAGGCAATTACTTTTACTATGGGATGTGAGACCATTTCAAACAAAACGAAATTTTCTTGAATGGCTGTAACTTTCAAACTTCTTAGACATGGTTTACCTGCCCCTTTGCAGTGATAATACTTCTTTTGAAGGCGGATGAAAGTAGCAACTTACCCGATCTCGGTCCAGATTCTCTCTATCTGCTGGGCAAATGTGAGGAAAGCCTTCAGCTGCACTTCTGTATTTTTAAAGAATGGTGGCCATTAATGTCAAATCTGAAGTTACCCCTTCCATCCCAAAACGATTGACGACAAAATGTCATGGTCGTAGTATGACGAAAAAAGTATTACATGTAACCTGTCAATTCGAGTCTGTGGAATTCGAAGGAGCTCAAAAATATTAATAGACGACTGGCCCACATACTCCATGTAATCCGGACTCCGGAATAAGGGAAATTTTTGCTCGTGGAATCCAGAATCCTGGGCTTTGAAGCCTGTTATTCGGAATCCAAGTTTCACTGCAAGGAATCCGGAATCCACGCGTGGAATCTAGAATCCAAGACTGTCCGCTTGGATTCGCTTCCACGGGGCGAACTGTAGACCCTTTTAACTAATTTAGTCGTACGCCTCGAAGCTCAACGTGTTAATAAGACATCTCATCGAATGGCATACATTTATTTTACATCGAAACTGTCCGAATTCGCATGCGACAAAGTTTCACTATGGAAATCATAAGGACTGCCTTTCAGTTTTATACGCATCACTCACTGTCGCCTCCTCATGAGTCAAAAGTGATCACAGACGATTCATGGCGAGGGTGTTTCTCTAGGGTTTAGATCGAGAGAATCTAACCGTTAGGATAATTACAGAGAAACAAGCGATAATTAAGTGCGAAATTGGTCGGACTAACAAGATTCCAACTAAAATTAAGCTTACATATTAAATTTTACGCCCGTCTCAGTCGAATTGTATTGTAAGTCGACGTACCTTCTAAAATATTCTTCGAGGCAACCTTTACAAAATCTGTGACCACATCGTGTAAGAACAGGCTCCTTTAACGGCAAGTGGCAGATTAAACACCGAAAATCGTCTTCAACTTCATTCACAAACTCGTCCTCATGCCCTGAAGGTAACCGTTGTCTGGCTGCCCCCGCCATTTTGAAAGTTGCATATCATGTGGCGTGACATAGTGCTCTGTCTCGTGACTTGAGTCGCCGGGCTCTGTTACCTGGATCACGCAAAATCGGATGTTACTCAAACGAGGAAAGGAAAAAATGAAAAGATGGGAACAAAACAGATAATTAAAAACACAATAAATTTTGAACAGAAATTGTAGGGCAATCTATAAAAGCAAGAAAAAAAAAATAGTTAAAAAAAGTAACAAATAAGAAAAATAAGAAAAATAATTAACAAGGACTCTGTACCCTAGCCTCGGTTGCAACCCAACATGGCGGAAGGTTGACAATGGCAGGGTACAATGAGATCTTCGTAAACTCTTTAGATGAAGATGTTAAGTGTTGTTTCTGCCATTTACCTCTACGTGAACCCGTTCAAACAAGATGTGGACACAGATTGTGCCGTGAGTGTCTCGAGGAATTAACGCAGTCGACGACAAAGTAAGAAAAACGTGATGTATTCAAAGATACGGGGAAAGCTGATTTATTGTGCTTGTAGATAAGTTAGTATATACTGTATTCTTAAAAAGATGTACTCCGCTTTCCCCTCTATTTTGTGGGAAAAAAGTGGAGGAATGGACAATATTTCCAGGTTTCATAGAGGATAGTACGGGGTTCAAAATTGAAAAAAATTGTTCCTTGACACTTAATAAATAATATTTATCATGTCGTGGGCACGCCTGATGGGGTCTTGGTTTTCTACTTAAGGTGGGGTTTTGTAGAAAACAAAGACCTTGCTCAAATTTCTTGATAATGGTATATCATATTCTTTCTTGCTTTTTCTTTGGTTGAGATTACCTTTTTTCTAGCAATTTTCACGTGATTCCCAAATGTTTTGATGGGCGGGGTCTTCGTTTGTGATTAATCTTCTTTTTTAACCGAAGCTTCGAGTCAAATTTGTTGGTGGTTGTAGATCCTGCTGTTCCTTAATATACAGTTAACGTGTCTGTACAATTTGAGTTGGCGACTGTTTCAAGCTAATTTTCAAGTGATTTTAAGGAAGTCTTTGTCTGTTGCAGTTAGATGTGCCTGGCATTGTTACAGGGGTCCAAGTTGCACACCCCTGCCAAAAATTTCCTAAAGGCCTCCCCTCAGCTAGCAAGAAAAATAAAGGCTCTGGTGGCAGGTTTTCCTGGGGTAATCCCCATAAAGATGACAGGGGTGCATGTTGGACAATTTTCACAACACCGCTAAAGGTGATCATTTTATGGGCATGGCTAAAATATATTGATTCATTCACCGACACTCATAAGAGGTACCAAATTAAATAAACAACAAATTAACTGGCACTGACAAATTGTGGTTGACTATTTACTTGACTAACAAATAAATTCCTTCATTTTTATGATTCAACTCTGTTACCCTTGTAAGGTACTGCAGCAAACCTAATAGCGACAAATGTTGACCCTAAAAGGTACAACAATGATCCTTGTCATTTTAGCGGAGAGTAATCCTTCAGGGCAGGATCAGTTTAAATCAATTCAGAGTTTGTGTATTGATCAATGTTTGCAGGGATGACAAGTCAAACAATGATGATCTGTTTTCTTTTACTTGCCCAGTGGATAATGTGAAGTTGGATTTTAGCGTGGTAAGTATTTGTCCATTAACTAGCACACTAATAATATTGTTTTTCTTGTTCATGAAATTATTTTTACGATCTTGCCTTTCTGCTTGCCTTTGTTCATAGGACACCTTCCCTGACAAAGCAACAGAAAGAAAGATTCTGTCATTGATCATTCAGTGTCCAAATGGTTCTTGTGAGTGGACAGGACCACTTGGGGAAAAACAAGTAAGACTGTTTAACTTACTCAGTGATACCCCAGTTTTTCTTCCTTGCACAACATGATTATACTGATTGGGAATTTAAGTAAGAGGTAAGAAATTCTTGCAGACACCTTCCAGACATTGCTGTGCAGTTAATTGTTACACCTCCAGTAGTGATTTCAATGCGCATTGGAAAGGAATACCCATGTTGTGTTCATCTGGATGATAAAGTACATGTAATCTATATAAATGTGCTTTTCTTAAAATTTCGTCAGATACATGACTTAATGATCGATTTATCTGAGACTGCCATTGAACCCGAAAACAACAATATATTCAAACATACATGCAGTAATAAGTTTTAAATCTCCATGCACTCTTGTACATGTGGTGGCCCACACATTCACAAAAAATGTTTCCGCATGCTTGCCAAAGTCTCTTTTCCTTTTGTTTGTATTTTTGATTACATGTGCGTGCAATTTGCAATCAGACATTAAGCATTGTTTTTCATTGACAGAAACACTTGGATTGTTGTCTCTTGCTTGTTGTCTCTTGTACAAATGAGAACTGTAAAGAGACCATGGTGAGGAAGGATTTGGATGAACATGTGACTGTCACATGTCAATGGAGGATGATATACTGTTCATACTGTAGTGTTTCACTTCCTGATTGCCATTTGAAGGTAAAAAGTCACATTGTGCTTTTAATATGTTTTCACCATAGTCTCATTTCACAAAGTGAAAAAATAACAACAAGTAATAATAATACCAAAAAAAAAAATAGAAACAAGAAAGGAAGGAAAAGAAATGAACTACTGGTTACATGTATAACCATAATTGCTGAATAGAAATTTGACACATTGGAATTTATACTTGTGAAACAATGTCACATGTCATTGCACTAGTGGCTTTGTTTTTAATACTTTGCCTTTTTTTCCAAGGAACACATAAATATATGTTCAAAGTATCTTGTTGAGTGCCCCAATACCTGTGGCGTGGAAATTCAACGGGAAAAGGTAAGGTGTTCAGTGCCTGATCCAGACCCTCAGATGGAAGGGGGGGGGGTGCAGGGGGGTGGTCTCTGGGCCTCAGTTTAGTCTAAAAATAAGGGGCCCCCCCTGGATCCGCCACTGGGTGTTTCCTTTAAAAAACCTTAAAACTGCTCTTCTTAGTGGACATGCCACTAGGGATCCAGATCAATTATGGCATGTTTAATATATGTTTGACAGTGTACACAGGTGACCCTCGGTTTATGGAAAATATTTAAAAATCATTGGATGTGGTCAAGTTTGATATGAAGAATTATGCAGATCGAATAATTTGTATAGCATGAAAGCATAATTCATTGATAATCATTGTTTTATTAATCATACGAAATACCTTTAAGCTGAACACGTATTTCCTAGTATTTCTCAGCAATTTCAGGATATGAAGGGATGTTTTATTCTAGTAGATATTCTTTTTATGGCAGTGGGCGTCTCTAGTTCAGCTGTTTCATCTCCGCATGATATGTGAAGGTTTTCGCCATTTTCTTCAGCTCTAGAGTGCTAAAACAACTGGGCCTCTGCGTCGCTCCTTTCCAAGGCGTCTGTGCCTCCCTTTTTCAGTCAAATAATTTACTATGGAGAGAAGTTATTACATCACGTTGCCATGGTAGCAGAATTTTTGGATGACAACAAACCAAAACGTCACTTAAAAAGTGGATTCGCACTGTTTCAAACTTCATCAATCTTATTTAATTTCATTTAATTTGTCAAATGTTGGCGAAATACTCTGGGTAAAATCCGAAAGGACCGTATGTAAGTTTAGAAAAAGAAAAACAAAATTTTTTTGTTGTGCTCACCTACTCCATAAAGCGGGCGCGTGAAATTAGGAAGTTTCATGTCGTGGTCGTGCAACAACGGCTAGGAAATGTACAAAAAAGCGTGATGCACGTGCAAAGATGTTTTTTTGCCAATCTAAACCTATTATTTTTTTGCTGTTCGCCGTTGCCGTTGCAAAAACTCCCTATTGTTGTCATCCAGAAATTTTCCTACCATGGTAACGTGACGTCACACTTCTCCTCTCTATTGACGTCAGTCGTAAATGAACAGCAAACGTCTTCCTAATTTGGTCATCGCTGGCTGGTTATGTAGGATTAGCCGGTGAATTACTTTCAATAAATAGTAATTTCTTTTTTGACCCTTCTTTATTGCAACCTTGCTTCAGGAAATAAAGCAAAACCAAAAGCGGCACAGAGATTTGCAAAAAATTTGACATTTTAATGGAGGAATCATAGACTGAGAAAACACCCAGCGAATTTTCCAATGGCACCTCCTGTTTCCCCGCGAAATAACGTCTGAGTAGCGAGAGCAGAAATTGCCTACTGATGACAGGATTTTGCTTCTAATTGGCTGAAAATTTGTTTCAACCAATCAGAAGCACTACCCAGATCTGGGTAGTGATGCGTCATCAGTGTGGAATTTCTGCACTTGTTTCTCAGACGTTATTTGGCGGGGAAACCGGTGGTGGTGTCGCGGAATGTCGGCAGTTTTCTCCGGCTAGGGGAATCATAGCTGTCGTGTTATTATTCACTTACTAAGCAATACTGGCTGCACTGAGATGTTGTCACTATGATTCCGGCACAAGATCACAAGTTGCCTGGGCATAGTTGTCTTTCTAATTTCAATGTTAAATTATCCAACCTTTATAGATCCCACATCACGTTGAAAATGACTGTCCACTGGAGATAGTATCCTGCCCTTATGCTCAGATGAGCTGTGATGTAAAGGTAAATTCAAACAGTACTGAGTTACTGATAGATTGGCCACGAGTAATTTAGCAAAAAGGAGACGTTTTGCACTAAGATCTACATGTATAGTTTCAAGAAAGATACTTTCAGTGGAAATCAATTGAAAGATTAGCGAATGTTTAGGGTAGAAGCGGGGGGGGGGGGCACTCCATCAAAAACTATTTTCCATTCATTTCGAAGATGATAGACTTCAAATTGTTGCTACTGGAAATATTTGTATATGTCGCAACTGTTAGTCGTAAGAGTAGTCATTTTCAGCTCTTCGTTTTTCTTTTCCTTGGTCAAATCTCGACAAAGCTTAGCTGTACTAAAAATGGCTTCCAACTTATTCAGCAAATGTTCTGCTTATTTCCACGGCACCGTGTAGTGGTTATGATGGGGTCGACAAGCAGAAATTTTACTGCGCTTTTCACAAACATGCGAATTCTGAAGTTCAAAAGCCAACTGACGATTGCGTTTTTCGCTGCCGTCAATCATCTTAACGGACCTCTTAGGAAACAAAACTTTACTTTAACGGGTGCAAAAGGTCAAGGTTTGTGATTTGTGATTGGAGGATTTCGATCCGTTTTGTGTGTCTCTGTGTTTCAAGGTTCGTTGCTTGTGATCGTAATTATGATTGACGGCAGCGAAAAACGTAATTGTGAAGGCGGCTTTTGAACTTTAGAGTTCGCGTGTTTGTGAAAAGCCCAGTAGAAGCGCTTACAAAATGCAACGGTAAGCTAAAAAGCCAAGACCTGTTACTTACTTTTTACAAACTTTCGACAGGTTGCAAGAAATCAGGTTGAATCGCACCTTCAAGCAGCTTCAAGTAACCACCTTGATTTGGCCCGCATTAACTTGCTTGGCACCCAAGAGAAGTTCAGAGAGAAAACAAGGAAAATGGACGAAAGAATGTCCGAATTGGAAAAGCAGGTTTATGACTTGAAGAACACAAACACCTTCCTCCTTGAGGCGGTGGCTTCCCTGGGACTTACTATAGCTCCTCAACTGTCTTGGAGGATTTGTAACATCACTGAAGCCTTAAAACCCCCCACGCCGTACGGAACAGCAGCATTACAGAGCGAACCTTTCTACTCTTCTGCTAATGGTTATAAATTGAAGGTGTCTCTTTACCCCAGGGGTTCCAAAAGCCGCAAGAGAGGTTATGTTTCTGTGTACCTGATTGTTATGAAAGGGGAATACGACGATGCATTACCGTGGCCTTTCCGTCATAAAGTAATTTTTACCCTTATTGACCAACAAGAAAATCTAGAGAAAAGGAGGAATATTGTCCGTGAGTTAGTCCCTGACATGAACCGAAAATGGCATGCAAGGGCTTGCGCAAAACCAACTGAAGACGAAAATCCTGAATTTGGAATTTTTGAACTTGAGCCAATAGACACATTTTTATATCAAAAGACTCGAGGCTACCTTCTTGATGATTCACTCTTGCTTGAAGTGAGGGTGATTCCTCAACTTAATGTTGTTTGAAAAGCAAATCATACATATTAAACCTTCTGGACTACTTTCAAGAACGTCCATTAATTGAAGAGGCAAGAGTTGCAAGAGAGGGACTAGCTAACAGGTTTGAAGTGAAACCAAAACACAAGTGACCAAGAAAGCCACCAAACAGTGTGTAACCCAACCTCCTTTAGTTACTTTATATTTGAAACGAAAGAAACCACGCGATAAATTAAGAGAGGGTTATTTTCTTGGTGGGTGCAAATGTTTTACCCTCAAATACAAGGCCATTTTGGTAAGTCCTGTGGCCACTAAACGCTACTTTGCCAAGACCTTCAACCAAGAATATCGAAACTAGAAAACAACACGTCTGAACATGGCGTATGAAGACAAACGTGTCACAAGATAAGCGTTTTTCAAAAAGACTTCAGTGGCGGATCCAGGGAAGGAGCCCGGGGGACCCACCCCTCCTTATTTTTAGACCAAACTTAGGCCCGAAGTGCCGAAAAAGATTTTTTTGAGACCGCCAGGTTACATGTGTCTTCGTTTTTGCGTCTTCGGTCTTCGTTTCGCAGACACCTCGTATAAAGTGTTTATAATAATGCTTGTAATGATAGTGCTTATGATAGCGCTTATAATCGTATGAAGTTCTTATAAGTGCTTACAACTATAGTATAACTAAGACCTTGAAAGCCTTGACCTCTAAAATAAGTATCAATATGAGCTTAAGCTTTAAGTCTTCATATTTTCGAAAAAATGGACGAGCTGCATGGTCAAAACGATACACAAGCACGTCATTCCTTCGATGCCCGTCAAAATGGCGACGCTTTTGATGAAGGCCGTCTCAATCTGGCGGATTTCGTGCAATTACTTCATACCTCTTCGCAAAACACAAAAAATTGCCAATCCGCAAAAATGAACTCCCGCAAAAAAAATTGCGCCACTACAGGCAACCCAAGCTTAGTATGAGAGATTTAATATTCATTAAGGTGGCTCGACTGGATTTTTTTGGAGGGATACCTCCCAAGTTTGAGCATCAACAACGTCGCCATGAGTAAAGATATAGGAAAAAGATTACCACAACTGTATTATATAAAGATGAAAATTTCTTATGATCTGGGTTTTATTGCAATCGGAGTCACCATGGCAACGTAACAACGCCATTATGTTTTTTATTTATCTTTGTGTTTCTCTGTACCGGGAGTTTTTTTTAAGAAATCGCTTAAGGGATTTTGTACCTGCCATAATTGCCTCAATTATGTCAGTGGTTATATGCATGTTAATAAAATTCTTCTTACTCGCGATCGCCCAGAGCAATTCCCCTCTTTTCAGGTACGCAGTTTTCAATGGAATCAAACTACTATAAGATGAAGCCGCGTTTCCAAAGCTTATCATTTTCTTTAAAAAACAGCTAATTGTGTGGATAGCACGCTATTTCACTGTTTTTATGATGCTGAAAACTTCGGTTCAAAATATCTCAAAAACGCTCTCATAGAATTTGTTCAAACTTTGCCATAAATGAGGCAATTATGGCAGGTACAACCTCCCTTAAGCGATTTCTTGAAAAAACTCTTGGTACAGAGAAACGCAAAGATAAATAAAAAACGTAATGGCGTCGTTACGTTGCTATGGCGACTCCGATTGCAATAAAACCCAGATCATAAGAAATTTTCATCTTTATATAATACAGTTCTGATAATCGTTTTCCCATATCTTTACTCATGGCGACGTAGTTAATGCTCAAACTTGGGAGGTATCCCCCCAAAAAAATCCAGTCGAGCCACCTTAATACGAGTGGTATCACTGCGTAATCCTCAAAATGGCCGTGACTACTAAGGATTTGTATGGGAATTTAGGGAATAGATTCAAGAAGATAAATGTTCGCTGGAATTTTCAGTAATAAACACTTTACCTTTTTTACTTGGTTTGTTCTTGCTTGGCGTGCGGTTATCCGATCCGCTCAATTTATGCGATTAAATCAAAATGCATATTGCAAAATCTCGGATACACCGGATAGTTTTCGACGTACCTTTCGAGGTCTTAGAGTTTTCGAGGTCTTAGGTCTTCGGTCTTAGCTTTCTAGGCTACCCCCTAAGGGAGGGACAGTTGTTACGCAATACATTGTTATTAAGCATAATAAGACTAATAACAAGTGACGTACCATGCTTGGAACATAAAATAAAACCACTGTACTGTTAAAAATAAACCAGTACTAAAATATGAGAGGAGAAACGTGCAATCAACTAATAACTTTAGGATCACTTGTATCTTGCCGAAGACCCTCACTTAAGATGAGATCAGGCTGTACTCTCGTTTCGCTTGCTAAATAGATTTCCGGCGGGCAAGGCGGCGAATCGAAAAGTCTCGCCTCCAGAGCAGACATTGTTTCATGTGCTTCTGAAATTTACATTCACGATATTACCGCAGGGATATGTCATGGACCTTAAACTCAACACTAGGGCCTTCGAGGCTAAAATACCATTCGTATTTAATAGTTGGGGCGGAACAAAGGCATCCCAAGTATGTGGTCAGATTATGCTAGTGCCACCAAGAAAATGGGGTAGCTTTTGCTCGTCCGCAGTAAATCTAGATTTACGAGTAGTAGTGGTGCTAGTATACATTTTATAGAGGGTCGTGAAATCGTTAACAGTATCCTTACGTTCGTTCATAAGTAGCGCCTTCCCGATCCGCCAAACGTCGCTCATGGACATAGACCTTGTAGAGCAGTCCGTGGCATCTACAGTATCATCAGCTGCAGGGGCGTAGCCAGGATTGTTCAAAGGGGGCGCCACCATCCATGGATCGCCGACTATATATGGTTTATACCGCTGCTCTCCCTCGTGTATCAGCGGGCTCAGTCGTATTATCGCGGCATGGAAGGCCCATATTAACAAAAGACAAGAGCCGTTGACGAAAATGCTTTACATAAAAACAATTTTAAAAAAGTGGGCTTTTCAACAATGGCTTTTACGGCCAAGATATTGTCATGGCGTTTTCGCCACCTGAATATTGTAGGCTGTTTGCTCAAAAGAAGGCCTACCAAGGGGGGGTCACGGGCACCCTAGGACCCCCACTAGCTACGCCCCTGCAGCTGACGTTCCGTTGACGCGAGAGCTATCTCTAAGTCCTACGCAGAGGTACCCTGCTAGCAAGCTCTCCATTTATGGCAAGCGAAGCGAGCCGCAAGAGAACACGCGAGTGAGCGGCAAAGGAAAGGAGTACTCGTAAGGATCTCTTACGGCTGGCTTTCACTAGCGACAGAGTCGGAATCGGAGTCAGAGTCGTAAGCAGAGTCCTAAGAGCGCTTATGACTCCGTGAAAATAAAAAATCGGAGTTGTAAGCAGGGTCATAAGCGCGACGGGTCAGAGTCGGACTTACCAGAACGTTTCCATTTTCTTCCGTCTCCGCTTACGACTCCGTCGCTTATGATCAAGCGAAAAACAGATTGTCGGAGTCGGAAGCAGAGGCGAAAGAATAAACCAATCACAATGCACGTTCCCGCGCTTTTTCTTCCACTTCAGCTTACGTGCGACTCCGACAACCTAGTTTTCATTTGATCGAAAAAGACGGAGTCGTAAGCGGATGTGAGCCTTTAAAAAAGAACATGCATTCAGAAAGACCAGCATTTAGCAAAAAGTGTCAAGGAGCAAGCAACCAAAAATACTGTCTTTTGTGAGGGGGGGGGGTCGCTACCCCGGGGGGGGAAGTTACTGCCACATAAGGGCTATATAGATATGTGCCGCTGTGATGGGTATGGTTTTCACGCAGTTTACTCTGGGATAGGATATAAATCAGAGAGTTTGGGTCTAGAATAGGGTATCATTCAGTTAGTTGAAGGTTTTAGTCTAGACTAGGGAGTTGCCACTCAAAAATATAAAAAAATCAAATCGGCAAGTTTAAATTTATACAACTCAGCCTAACTACTATAGGATACGGGGAGATTAGGAATTCAGTACCCTTACGCTTAGGGTTCCAGGGTCCCAGCGGCAAATCCCCACCCAAAAATTCCCAAAGTACTCCCACGGGGGTCGCTACAATGAGGTACAGTGGGGAAAGCCATGCACCTTTCCAGAGACCTGTGGATATGTTGGAGGGGGCAGTTTAGTCTGTGGTAGGGAGTCAAAATCAGAAGATTTTGGTTTAGCATCTGGAATGTCTCGGCACTTGCAGTTAGATGTGGTCTGGTGTTGTTACATACACACCCTGGCCAAAAATGTCTTTAATGCCTCTCCCCAGCAAGCAAGAAAAAGAGAGGCCCTGGTTGCAGGCTTTCCTGGGGTAATCCCCATAAAGATTACAGGGGTGCATGTTGGAAAATTTTGACAACACCCCTAGAGGTAATCATTTTATGGGCGTGGCTAAAATTCATTCATTCACACTCATAAGAGGTTCCAAATTAACTAAACAACAAATTAACTGGCACTGACAAATTTTGGTTGACTATTTAGTTGACTAACAAATAGTTCCCTCATTTTGATGAATTAACTCTGTTACCCGGCCCTTTAAGGTGCTGTAGCAAACTTAATAGCCACAAATTTTGACCCTAAAAAGTATAATGATGATCCTTGTAATTTCAGAGAAGAGTAATCCTTCAGGGCAGGATCAGTTTAAATCAGTATTCAGTGTTTGTGTATTGATCAAGGTTTGCAGGGATGACAAATCAGACAATGATGTTCTGTTTTCTTTTACTTGCCCAGTGGATAATGTGAAGTTGGATTGTGACATTGTAAGTATTTGTCTGTTAACTAATTCGCTAATTGTTTTTCTTATTAATGAAATTATTTTTATGATCTTGCCCTTCTGCTTGCCTTTGTTCATAGGACACCTTCCCTGACAAAGCAGCAGAGAAAAAGATTCTGTCATTGATCATTCGGTGTCCAAATAGTTTTTGTGAGTGGACAGGACCACTTGGGGAAAAAGAAGTAAGACTGCTTAACTTACTCAATGATACCCTTGACCACCTTTAAGCCCTAAGAGTGATCAGCATCAAATTTCTCCTTGTAATATCAGTGCTTTGTAAACAGAGTGGTCATGAGAAGTACGGACACGATCACACAAGATAAATTTGCTTGATATTTTATAAATTTCTCCCCACTATTTTGTAGGAAATGAATAGGGGCAAGAAATGAGAATCCAGAGAATCCAAATTTTTGACCGGGAGTTAGGGTCTAAAGGGTTATACTCTTTCAGTTTTTCTCCCCTGCACAACATATACCGTATACTGATTGGGGATTTAAATAAGAGGTAAAAAAGTGTTACACCAACTTGCAGACATTGTTGTGCAATTGTTATACCTGCGTATAGTGATTTCAATGCACATTAGTAAGGACTGCCCATGAGGTGTTCAGCTGGATGATGATATTGATCATGTACATTACACATAAATTACATGTGCTTTGCTTAAAATTTCCTCAGATACATGACTGTAAAAGGTTTATCTGAGACTGCCGCTGAACCTGAAAACAACAATTTAATCAAACAGATACATGCAGTAGCTAGTTATCAATTTTCATGCCTTTTCTTTTCTTGTGGACACCCACGCATTCAACAATTCTTTTTATTCATTTATTTATATTGTACTTACGCTAATTACAGTTGTTTGCTCAAACAGTATATTAAACATAGCATAAATCTTTAAAAGTTTCCGGTAATATTTTCGTTTAATGTGAATCACATATATATACATGCACCAAGAGTAGCCGGTAATCATATTGAACTAGGAAATATAATTAACTGATTTATCAAGGCGTTGAAAGTACAACCTATACTTTCTATCAGTAGTTTTCATTATAAAATGAAGCAGCTTCCCGAGCAGTTTAGTTCTCTACTACTAATAATAGCCTGCGTCAGTAGCAGGTAGTTGTTTGATAGTTTTAGTTACCAGATTATTTTTCCTTGGTAGTTGAGATACAGCGGCCCAAAAGCTCTGAGAGATCAAAGATGTGGGAGGGGACAAGAGGATTTCTAAACAATTATACACGGGTTTTCCGTAGTTTTTACACACATACATACATGCATACATGACCTTTATTTAAACACGATAGTTTTTAAAGCTATTAAAGCTTGTGGGGGTCGTGTTTTTACTTTGATCTTTATTGTTTGTACAATAGATTCATAAGTTATGATCTACTATTGCCACTATCTATAAGCTACGCACAGCACTTTACATACAATTTGTATAAGAGTATAACCTGTAGTATGTAACATATTCCTCTAGCTCCAAGTCAATGGCTCCGACCAATTTCAAAGTTACTGACGCCGCGAAACATATACGACATCGTCTTGACATCGTGGACCAACAACTACTTTAATAATTACAGTGTCGTTCAAAAGGTAACCTCTATCACTCAAATAAGACAAACGATGAGAGATATTGGTCCATCGTTCATTCTCTTCCAGTATAGGCCGCAGGAACTTATTCTGACTCTCGGTCTTCAAAAGAGGTCGATGCTTAGTAATCAAATTCTTACATTTTATACCAGGTTTTTTTTGTTGATCAATCAGTTCATAAGTAACCATATTACGAAAAGGCCATGGTAATATGATGTCATTTTCACTTTGCATTATTACAAAGTCAATTTTGAGGGCAGGTCCAAACTTGAAATCAATTCCCATATACAGTTTACATTTATAACCCTTTTTACCCAAGTAAAATGGATTACTCTCTACCTCGTATCCCTCTAATTCGCCCCGTTTAAGAAATCCTCTGAAGCCTGGAATCTTCCACTCTTTTTCCCACACACCGGGTATAACCTCGAAGCAGATTTCCTCTCTCGGCGGTATGGCAAAATCCTTATACATGGATGCACTTTCTTTTTGCTCGACCCTCCGCATTGGGTTTAAAGGTCTCTGAAGCAACCCAAAGCTTTTCTCTAATGAATCTACTTTCCTAGAGTCGTCCTTAAGAATCATTTCGACTGTTTCTACCCTATTTTGCAGCTGAGTTTGAAAAGTACCTACTTTTCTTTCAAGTGCATTGACCTTTTCCCCATAGTCATTGCTTGACAGAAGACGAATAATTAACTGCTGGTCTTTAAATTTCGCTTCAAATAGTTTCAACTGCCTTTCTAGGTCATTGAACTTCTCGTTAAGTTTACTTGTTAAATCATGAGACCTTTCCAACTCCTCTTGAGTGCTAGTTAGTTTTGCAAAAGCCAAGTCAACATGTGTTCGTACAGCTTCCTGAAGATGGCTTTCAATCTCTTTCCGTCGAACCTGCAGTAAAACAGTCTTTTTTTCGCAAAAGGACGCTATGCATAATACAGGTGTAATTTTCAAATGTACGGGTCGCGTTAGTCAGAGCATCTGATACCCTTTCTGTCTGCATAACTAATTTGCTCCGAGTGATAACATGTTAGTCTACTTCTGTTATATTTAAGAAACATTGTACGTAAAAGAAATGGCTTCCTTGTAATCTACATTCTCACTGAGAGAGTAATTTGTTATAAAACATTGAATTGACCTTAAGTGATTGCCCAATTGGTCCTTTCACATTATTCTCAGTTGCCTATTTTACAGTTACAGGTGGAATTGAGGGTGGAGTTGACATTGTTTTGATACAACCCTTTCTGCTTTATTAAGCTAATCATGTTATTCTTATGCTAATTAGTATTTTTTAAGCAAAATTTAAATTAGAAAAGGGAAGGGGGTTTTTACCAAAACAAGGTCAACCTCAGCCTCATGTTCACTCAAAGGCTTGGACACTAAGCCCGCAACTGTAAAATGCCCTGTTATGCACTGGCTTCTGCAAATGGAACAATGTGGTAAGTTTTTTCTTGAAAAGCAACAAAAGAAAAAGAACGAAAAATCGACAGATATTTATACCAAATGAAATCTTTTAAAACAAAACTCGCTGCTCTGAATTTAGTTAAAAAGCAACTTACCTTTGTTGCACAGCCCATTTGAGCATACGGACAGGACGTTATGGTCAGTGGACAATCTTTTTCATAGTGCTTTAAGAGCTGTAATGAAAAAGAAAAAGTGCTAAATTCCACACCGCAGAGCTTAGTTTTGGGACCGAGAGTGGGTAGGAATAACCTTGCTTGCAACAATAACATCAAAATACATCCAATATTCCACATTTTGTATCCCTCCGACGTTTCATTTGAGGTACTTTCACAAGCATTTCGCTATTCTTCACAAAAATACTGAAGAAACCAACTGGCATCAATGCCTATATATACTTTTACGAATTCCGCCGCAATCTCATTTCATCTTCGCCTCGGCACTAACTCACTGCGTTACAGACATTGAGTAGCAATGCGGCGTTTAAAACAACAACAACAACAACAACTGGTAACTTCTTCGACAAATCGTATTTGAAATGTTTCTGAGAAGAAGTAAATAGATAAATTAATCAACGTTTCTAGGTCAGAAAGAACCAAAGTAGCCACAAAATGGAGAATGAGCATTTTCAATGGTAGGTAGAAAAATTTAGTTGTTTATTTGTCACAAATAAGTAACTTGTTTGCTCGTTTTTTCTTATTTCCACCAAAACTTCAAGTAGAATAGAACATATAAGTGTTGGTTTCTACTAAAACAATAGGCTCTTTACGTGGTACAAAACCGCCATGCTGTACAGCAAGACACGCACTAGAACAAGACAAATAAAAGAAATGACCATTTTATAGCCTGAGTATCACGCGTCCCTAAGGGGCTAGGGGAGAGGAGATTTTAGATAGTGATGATGTGAGATCTTTCTTTGTCTTGCCCAAGTGCATCCCTTGTTCTCCAGCATGATGCTTTTGTACCACGTGAAGAATTAGCTGCAGCGGGCCTACATCTATTAGTCTACTCGTTATTGTTTTCTAAAAGCGAAATACATGTATTGAATTCGGTGCTAACCTTTCCCTTTTCTCTTTGAAGTTCGCTATTCAAAATCATCTGCCTGTTTTAAGAGCCCAGTCCTTCCTCCCCTTCCAGCTATCTGGGTTCATAGACATAGGCCGAGGAATCAGTAGAGCAAAAAGAGTATGAACCCACGTCTATCGTGCATCTCTCTATTGTACAAAATTCAGTAGGGGAACAGTAGTAGCAGCACTTTATTCTTACCTCTTCTCGCGGGACGACAGCCCCGCAGTTTTTTCGGCAGTTTAGTGGTTTTCTCGTGCAATCAAGTTCGTGAGCCTGTTGAAATGAAATGCCGTCAAATTTGTCTTTAATCATCTACAGTCACAATTGTATATAACGGCCCTTTATATAGTGGTCACCCTGTATATTACGGTCACCGGACAACTTCCTAAAATTTTCAGTTGCCTTACATTTTCT